ACACAACACCTCTGACGTCTGCGCGGTGGCACACGGGCCACGGAGGCAGCAACCAAGGGCTGAGGGCTCCGCCTCTCCTCCCAGACCCCGACTTTCTGCCGGAGCTGCTGGTGGTCTCCAGCCGCTCTTTCCCTGGCCAGCCCCATCTGTCACTGAGAAGTGGCTCCGGTCCCCTGTCCCTTCTCCCCTCTGGTCCACCTTCTAGAAGGAAGCCCCAGCTTCCAGGGAGACGTCAGCAAGGACAGGACAGGCGGCAACAACCTTAGACCCAGCTCCAGTCCCCATGGCTGGGGCCCTGGCTACCTGTGGGCCTGGGGGTCGCTTCTGCGTGGGCCAGGACCCTGGCTACAGGAGAATTTGCAACCGGCCTAGGGCGGAGTTTGAGGAACTGGTGAGGTAGGGAAAATGCCCTCGAAACAAAATCTCCAGGTACACAGCGTTTCAGACGTGTGCAGGGTGGTCCACCAGGCCCAGCCCGGGGTGGGTCTCTGGAACCGGACCCCTGTCCACGGCGACAGGGTGCGCCACATGTGCCAAGGGCGCACAGGGCCGGTTTGGTGCCCGAACACTGCTCGTTTTGTGCTCACGGAGACAATGCAGCTCGCTTTATTAGTTCCACTGCAGGGTTATGGGCCATGAATTGAAATACATCATTAACATCCTGGACAAACTTATCTTGCAACTGAGACAAAAAGCTCATTCTCTGGACAAATGGGGGGAAATTCCATGACAACAGTGTGGAGTTCCTCTCCCGAAGACCTATTCGGTACACGGTGGACAATCACGGGCTTATACTGCCGGACTGGGGTCCCCGGAGCCCCATGAGGGAGCCATTCACTTCTGGGAGAGTAAGTACCACTGAGGACAAGGCCCTGGGCTGCGCCGCTCCCAGAACAATCAATAACCCATTATGGACGGACTGCACTGCCACCCTCTGAGGAGGCACGAACAAGGCGGCCGGAGCTGGCGGCACTCGCCCACCGCCCCACTGCCGCCCCCACTCGTGGAGGCGGGGCAATCCCCCGTCCCAGGGGGTAACTAACAGGGAGGCCGGCGGGACGCCTGTAACAAACCTTATTTGGAAGCAGCCAAGGAATAGTGTGTGGACATTTCAGCCAGAAACGCTCATTTTAAAGGTGAGTCTCAAATCGCCTTGTTCAGAAACATGGCAATGAGGGTGAGTCATCAACTGAGGACAACGTTCTGTTTTCTAAAACAAAGGTTCCTGTCAAGTGACTCTGCCTCTCCCAGCGAATAACAGCAAGTACTGCCGTGTGACGGGTACTTCTTTATGGCCTTTCTTGCCATGGTCTTATGACTCCCACCAAAAGACTGGGTGGGACTATGCAAATAAGGTGCTCACAGCCCACCAAGGGGACTAGACAGCTAATGCAAATGGCGCCTGGCACCCTTGCTGGGGTGTGTGGTGGGGAAGGTTGGGTGTCAGCGTGGCTGGGCCTGGTTGACTGGCTGGGCAGCTGGATGTAGTATTCCCCATGACGAGACTGGTGATCAACTCCATGGTGGAACCTACTGTGAGCAGCTGAGTAGCTGCCTTAGGGATGTAGTGTGCTTCCTGAATATAAGGAAAAGCCTAGGGGAACGGTCTCTAGCTTACGGCATGCTTGAAACCTGCATTTGGTCGTGTCACTGTCCAGCAGCCTGCCATGCTCTGCTGACCTTGGGACTTTCAATGGACTTGAATTAACAGCCTGCCGTGTAGTTTGGTAATATCAGGACTGTGCCTTTTTACTTCTCAACCTTGGGCCTGTCAGTCTCAGCAGCCAGCAGCTGAGTGAAGAAAGGCCTCCAGCTTCAGTGGGCCGGGAGCAGGAGGCAGAGCTGAAGCCCAAGGCTGAGGGCTTTCACCCAGCCCCTAGAGCCTGGCACTTTGAACTCAGGCTTAAAGCCTCCAAACTGTAAGAGAATAAACTCCTGTTTGTTAAGGCCCTCCCATCGGTGGTATTTCTGTCAGAGCAGCACTAGGGAACCCAAACAGGATGGGCTCACGCAAACACCTGGACTAACGAGGGGACTTAAACGAGCCAAACTCAGAGCAGAGAGGGGACATCACTACCGCCCAGAAGATGACAGGGGGAAGAGCCATCGTCTGGATCCAAGGTCCTTGTGCTGAGAACCTCGCAGACCCAGGGGCGGACCTGTAACATCATCGACCGTCCCCACCTCCACTAAAATCGTGGCTCAGGACAGAGAGAGACCGCAGCTCCCCCCACGAGAGAACGTGCAGACACAAGGCTGGCCAACACGGAACAGTTAGGCTGACGCGGCAACAGGCTCCCTGCGATGCGCGTTTCCGCCGAAGCGGCCCACGTCCTCTCCCGAGACAGAAAGACCGGGAGTCCAGCCTGAGGAGGCGGGAGTGGGGGGCGGGGTCCTGAGTGCACGACGGAGTTACTGGTTATACTCAGAGAACCCCAAAAGCGAGCCACTTTCCGCCCTGGCCATCAGCCGTCCACAGGAACTCCAGCGGCCACCGGGGCTGTGACGGCCTCCCAGGGACGCACACTGGGGGAGGCGCGTTTCGTATTTCCTGTTTTCCTTTCTTCTCTCCCTGCTCTCTGAAATGACAGTGTTACTGTACTACATCACCACTACTAGTTCTCACATCTCCTGGTAAGGCATCACCTGACCTGCCCGTGTGTCCCTAAAAAAAGCAAGCTTCACAAATCCGATGGAAAGAGACAGGGACCTGGGGGGGGGCTGTCCCCCAAGTCCCTCCGTATCAAGGGCCTCCGGTGTCCCCGCTGCTACGGGATCCGGCCTTCCTGGAGCAGTGGTAGAGCCAGAGTTGGCTAGCGACCTTGTCAGCGTTTCCATCGGGAGCTGCCTGTCCAAGCCTTGGCTGAACGTCTTCGTCCCATGAAGCAGCCCCCACAGAAACAGAGCTCGAGTCACCCCTGTCCCTTCCACGGGTCAGGGAGCACTGAGGTTTTGCCGTGACTCCTGTTACACCCCGAACAAAAATAATTAGAGCCAAAGGGGCAAAAAGAATTCAGAAAACAAGACACCTCAGTTTCTGTTTTTAAAACAAACATGGCCACTCAGAAGGGCTGAGGTGAACTGCAGCCAAAACCAGGTTTCTAAGGGGCTTGTGAGCTTTTCATGGAGCATGAAATAGACGCGCAGCGCTGTGACCAGTGCAGAGTGTCGCAGGATTAACCATCGCTTCTCTAGGAGAAAGGCTGCGCGGAGATCACTGTCTTCTCCCAACGTAAGACCTAGTCCTCACTGGCCACACGTTTCTAAGGCTGGAGAAGCTGATGCGCACTTTCAAAAATAAGCTGTGTATGGTCTTCCATGTAAGTTAACAGCCAGGTCATACACACACACACACACACACGCACGCTTGGGCACACGCACAACCACACACAAGTGTGTGCATTATACAGGCAAGCACACATACTCACACACGTGCACACACATGCAGATTGCACGTGTATGTACACACATAATCAGACATGCATACATGTTTGCACTTACACATGCACGCAGGCAGTGACACACACACAGAGATGCACACATGCACATGTATGCACATACTCATACGCACGCACACGCTCGCAGGCGTACATACACATTTTCCAACGTCTACTAAAAGCAACAGCCCTGTCCCAGGATAAGAAAGACATCTGTAATGCAGCCATCCCGCACGGTCTCCCTTTCTCTGTCCACTCCGGGACAGAGCCTCCAAGTCCCAGCCCACCATCGAGTGAAAGAACAATGTGTGCCCAAGAATCCACAGAGGCCGTTATGTGCAGCAGCCGTAAGGCGCTCCGTTAGCCGTCACCTGCCGGGGATGCTGCTTAGCACAGAGTCAGGCCCAGCGTCCCTTCAGCAAGAGCACACGGAAGAAACCACACACCGGAAACCAAGCACTAAGGAATCCCAGGCAGTCGCTTTCCAAGTTACTCCGTGAAAGTTCCCTGAACAGCGGAGAACTGGGCAGGGCAGCTGAAAGGCATGTCACAGAAGGAATGACCTGAGCTTTTGTTGGCCATCACACAGACACTGATGGGTGCGTTAGCAGGTCTGCATCATGGGAGGGCAGAGCACACAGAAACACAGCTGTATGTACAGTGCGTGTCCTAGAGCCCATTACAGCGTCCAGACCCACTGCCGTCCCTAACCATGGCGACGTGACCTAGTTTCTCACCAGTGGACACAGCCCCTGGAAAGCAGTGTGTCCTTCCAGCCACTTTGGAGGAGTGATGTGTCGAAGACTGTCCACAAACAGCAATTCCTGATGAGAACACAGTGTCAAACACCCACAGCATTTACCCCGCCACGCTGCCTAAAGGGGGGTCTTCAAACACACCTGGTAGACATCACAGCAAGTTCTCAGCTGGAAAGATCAAGTCCACCTGCAGTTCCCTGATGTGGAGTGAAAAAGGAGAAACAAGGCCAACTCCCCCGTAACTCCTCATGATAACGTCAGCCCCTACTCAACCACAAAGTCCGGCCAATCTAGCGTGGTGAGGGGACCGGTCACGGGTGATCCTTCAGGGCGAGGAAGGAGCTGTTTTTCCAGGCCCAAGGCGTCTCACACACAACAGCTTTGAGTGAGAGGAAATTCAAGACATAACGAGGAACCTTTCTGAAGATCAAAGCTCCCACCCCCACGCACACACCCTGCCCTTGGTCCTGGGGGCAGAGCGATCAGACTGAGTAGGAGTCTTCTGCCGTCAGCCTGGCCGGCTTACTGGAAGAAAATGTCACACTGTGCAGGTGGCCAATGCTGTCCCTGAAAACGAACCGTCCCCGCACCACTTGCTCGCCCACGTTTCCCAAGGACCCAATGACCGTGGCTGCATCCAGTGATGACATGTGCTGAGCCTTTGGTTGCCAGAGAGACCATCTTTCAAAACAGAGCTCCCGATGGCAGGTACGTGCCCCTAAATTGAGGGTTCCTTCTCCTTGTGCCCCACTTTCCTCCCCTTCTCATCCAACGTCCTACACCCCAAAGCACCAGAAACCCCTACAGCTCCAGAGCCCTTGTCCAGGATGTGCTCCTCAGGGTACAGGTAGTGCGGGGTGAGGTGTGCTTTGGGGGGCCCAGGCTCAGCAGGGAGGCGCATGGAAGAGCACAGGCCCGGAGGACAAAACGCGGAGGCCTGCCCACTTGTATACACGTCAAGTTCAGAGGAGAGGCTATGAACTTCAGTGACGCGGCACCAGAAAATCACTCTGGGCCCAGAATGTGCTAGAAGGCTCCTATCTGGCCAAAGGTCAGATGGCTCCTACGCACAGGGGTCGGCCCCCAGCACGATACACAGGTTGCAGGCGCAGCTCAGAAAGGCATTGCCTAACTCCATGCACACCACGTGCACTCGGCTAGCTCCACAGGCACACACCTTCGTGGAAAGAGAGGACGTGAACCCGAGATGGGCGCTTGCCTCTCAGTTAGCGAGCCACGGAAATGAGAAGGTGCGGCGGCCCCGCGGTGCCGCACGGTCTGCACCCACCCCCGGCCGACCTGCTGCTGGCCTCCTGCTCGATAAACACGGCCTGCTCCTCTCTGCTTCCCACCGGCCGTGCGGTCACGGCAACCGCCACGTGATTCTCACTCATCCAGAGCTAGGGAAGGTCCCTCAGTAAGGACGTGCCCCTTCCTCAAGGACTGGGCTCCGCCACCACAGCCCTCCTGCGCGTACGAGGACTCTGGCCACCGAGGAACTGGGGAGCCCACCGTCCGGCGCCATCTCTCCGGCGGCTAAGCCGCCCCAGCAGCACACGGCTCTGCTTTTCCGAACCCTGGGACCTGCTGGGGTGCGAGCCAGGGCCTGTTGGGCAGCCGGATCCGGACCACTGAGCAGGAACTGCTGGTGCCCAGCCAATACCTGGCAATCCCCCCTCAACAGCTAGGCAAGAGCCGGTGAGGCCCAGGCTCAGACCGAAGGGTAAGACACCCAGGGCTCAGCCGTACCCGGGGTGTGCCCCTAGGCGGGGTGGCCCCAGCAGCCTTCCTGGCACCGTAGCTTCTCCGTCCTAAGCTCTGGCTTCCAGGCACGCACGGAGCACCTCAGACAACTTCTCACTGCCACTCACCCCTGGAAGCAGCCCTGGTGGCACAGTGGTTAAGCACTCGACCACCAACCAGTGCTCTGAACACACACCTAGCGGGGCTCCAAGGGCGAAAGACTGGCAATCTGCTCCCGTAAAGGTGACAGTCTGGGAAACCCGAGGGCAACTGCAGTGTCCCAGGGGCTGCTCTGAGTCGTGACCGACTCGGTGGCACACAACAAGCAGCAGCCCTGGTGGGACGATGGTCAGCAGCTCAGACCCACCCAGGGAGGCTCCAAGGGAGGAGCCCCGGCGATTTGCTCCTTTAAAGACTCCTGCCAACCACACGCACTGCCAGTTCCGACCCACAGCGCCCCTAGAGAACAGACAGGAACTGCCCACAGGGTCTCCCAGGCCGTCAATCTAGACAAGCCGCCTGCCTCATTTTTCTCCCTGGCAGCTGCTGATGGGTATGAACTACCAACCTTTCGGTTGGCAGCTGAATGCTTTAACCGCTGCACCCCTGGAGCTCCTTCCTGAAAGATGACAGCCAAGCACTCCTACTCTATCAAACGGAGTCGTCATCTACTAGATGGCTCCCTCCTGGGAGGGGAACCATCAGCAGTCTCACTGACCCTTCCAACCGCGCCCGGGCTGTGCACGGCTGTGCGACCAGACACATGGACCCTGGCAGCACTGCTAGTACGGGGTTCTGTGACTCCAATCCTGAGCCCAATACTGTGGGTTTCCAGCTCTCCCTTTCAAATCCCACCCCCGAGCTCCTCGTCCAAACGCAAGCCGCGATCCAGCTTCCGATTTCTTCTTTGCCATTTACTGTCTTTTCACATTTCTAATCCCCAGCGTCAGCTCATACACCAGGTTAGAACGTGCTGGACCTGGGGTCCCGGACAGGTGGGGACTGGGGTGCAGCGAAGCCACGGAGAGGGGAACGGTAAAGGTGCCCCGCTCAACACCACCTACAGGGCAGGTGGCTACCGAGGACCCCACCGGGGAGGCAGCCCCACGCGGAGACGTCCGCTTTCCGGCGTTTGTACGTGAGCGCGTTTACGTCACGGGTGCGTGGCCGAGAAAACACGTCCGCAAAAGCTCCCGGCGCGTCCCACCTCCTTCCCGGAAACGTGTAAGCACCACGAAGCACTTCTCCCAAGATGGACGCTGCGGCCCCTGATCAGCGGCCGAGGCTGCTTCTCCGGGAATGGTGGTGCTGTTGTTACGTGCCAGCGAGTCAACCCGACTCATAGCGACCCCTCCTGGGTTTCCGAGGCAGTATCACTACGGAAGTAGATTGCCCAACCTTCCGAGGAGTGGCTAGTGGGTTTGGACCGCCAGCCTTCTGGTTAGCAGTCAAGTGCCTTAGGCACTATGCCACCAGATCTCCCCCGGGAATAGTAGTGCTTTGCAACTAGTTCCTCAAATCCTAAAGAGAACCCATCCCGAAAAAGAACTCGGCAAACGGCAGGGAACCTCTAGGATTAAAACCAGAGTAAAAAGTGCTCGGCGGAGTCCCCCCCGGTTCTGCACCAACCTGGGGTCGCAAACACGCAGGAGATCAGACACGAGGGGCCCGAGAGTCAGGCGGGCTTTGCTGAGTATGGTCATGCAGGCTCGTAACCTAGCAGGGTAATCCCTTCCAAGGCGGTACTCTGAGCAGAAGCTTCGCTGGGAAACCCACAGGAAGTACCCCGTCTGCTCTCTGGAGACAGTGCCTCATCAGGGCCCGGCCGCACGGGTCCCGCTTACCGGAAGTTACGTCCGCTGCCGTCACGCGGTCCAGCGGCTCGCGCGCACTGCAGGGGTGCTGCTTTCCTGAAGGTTCTCTTCCCTTCGGGATGCTTCGTGGTAATGATTTATTTAGTAAGCGCTGCCCGTGGCT